AATATTTTTATTTTTATAATGAAAAAAATTCCAATATAGAGTATCTCAAAAAGAACAACATGAAAACAATAAAAAAATTTCAATACAGAAACTTTTAAAAATAACGTAAATATGGGTCCTTTACACTCCAATTTAGGTAATTCTGAATCTCTGGTGTACGTATTTCTTCTGCCAAACGCTAGGCTGTGTTCCCACCCAAGGAACTACGACAACTACTACTATGACACCGCCGATAGTGACAACTACTACTATGACACCGCCGATAGTGACAACTACAACAATTCCTGGGACAACGACTACAAGCATTAGCACGAGCACGACTACAACGACTACAAGCACGACGACAACTACAACGACAACAGTCGCGCCACCTGCAAGTACGTCAAAATGCTAAAAGCTTTACGATCACATAGTATTTAATAAGAATTTAGACTGCTGTCCTGCGCTGATGCAAACATTGACAACAAGCGAGTTCCCTGACGGTCAAATGACATTCGTCTACAATAACAATGAATGTCGAACGGCAGTCGTAGCGACGTGTTCGTAAGTTACCACTAATTTTTTTGCGTAACGTGTAAGGTTTGCATATTGATCATCTCCTATTTAGGCAAACCGATCCAGCGTTTGATTTGTACGCTGCAATTGTGGCTAACGGACAATTTTTCTTGGACTATGGTCCTAATAATATCAGCTTCCCAGGCACATGCAATACGACACTTCAACAATGGTAATGACTATTTCTGTAGTCGCACAACTTGTAACAGAATCTTTATGGCAGAAATCCTTATTTCAACCAACACCATAAAACCCTAAGCAGTAGAAGCCTTGCATGTGCTTGAGACTCACGTCCTCGACACTGAATTACTTTTGCGGGAGATGGTGCAGACATGACACTAACGTGCATGAGAACAGCTCCCCAAGCACCAACCCAGAATAACTGTCGCTGAGAGGAGTTTGTAGAGTGCCTACCCCTTTGACCAAATAATGTAAAATTTTAGTACATCATATGCATTATATCATGATGGTATTTGGCTCCAAGAACTTTAAAATGATCGAAAGTTCTTGCGATGATTTTCAAATAATCTGAAACAAAAACCAATCATTTCGTTTTTAGGGAGATGGGAACACCGCCACTTCTCATCAATACGCTAGAATGTCGCCTTACAAATCCTCCATCAGGATAGATTGCTCGGATAGCTTCAATATTGGGAAAACAACTCCTCCCGTTCTTTTTTTCTAATTATGCTCATTTTCCAACCTCTCTCAACATTCCAGCACAGATGAAAGTGCAAATCGTGTATGTCGAGTGTGACTACTTTTCTTACTAAATTGCTCTGTTGAGGCGTTGATTTCGACATTTGCTTGCGTTAGTTCTTCACAGTTTCAACAACATTGTATTACTTCAAATAACGGGTTTAGGAGAACATTTTATCAGGAATAATGTTCGTGTGTACAATGTTTTGCCACTTCTTCCCTTATGAGTGGAATAAAGTTGAGATAATTGACTGGAATAAAGTGGACGATGATTCAAGAAATGATTGACCGACAACTCCTTAGGAGTACAAAGGATGGAGGGAGAAAGTGAATGCGCACCGCAACCACTTAATCCATCATTACTCTGCTGTGCCCTTTCTTCAACTCTACAAGTCCACTTGTTATTTTCACTGACCTGATTGACGCAATTAAGAATTTAAATACTAAGTAGCACTACATCTACTAATTCTCCTCCCAACACGATTGACTTCA